ACAGACAAATTATTTGTCATTGGTTAGGCTGTGTGTCTACTTACACCAGGCTTTATAATGAGTACAACACATAATTACAGAATGTATACTGCATGTACAAACTTAGTTCAGCAAAAATAGCACCATGTAAGCAATTCATGTGAGTCATTTGCTATAGGTTTGAGTACATGTTTAACTCAATTGGTTTTACTTGCTCTAAAACCAGCTAATGTCCCAAAAATACTTAATTTAAAGGCTTCCACCTAGTCCCCCATGCCTAAGACTGCTGAGACCTATAAGGTATTTCAAAGAGTCAGTAGTCTGATATTGTTTGACTGAAGACTTGCACTGACCTCTCTTTTTCCCCTTAACCTTTAGTCTATAGAAAAATAATACTTGGAAGATGTTGCTTGGTGATATCTAAATGAGAAGTGTATATATACATATTTAAGGACATAAATAGGTTTTGCCACTGAGAGACTCAAATTATAGTGTTTACCATGTAGACAAGAGCCTCATAATTTACAGCAGAAGAGCAAGGCAAATACAAGACAGCCTTAGAAGGAAAGTACTCTACTCTTAGTTATTATACATCATTTTAATGTATCAAATAAGACTGAATCTTTGATCTCTTTCTTTCAAATAGACTCCTCCTTTCTTTGATCTATCCTCCCATTTTTCTTCTTGCCTAAAGAAAAATCTTTTTAAGCCATTAACTTCTCTGACCTCTTTGCCTACTGTCCTCTGCTCTCCACGCCCCTGACCAAAGAGGCACGTAATTTTCCAAGCCTTCCTGGGCAGTGATTTTAGCGAAAGGAGGACACTTCTGTCTGGTTGATGTAGGACTGTCACTCTCTGATGTGATACTTTCTTTGCGACGATGTGGTCTCTTTGCTCTATTTGTGTGTGCCTGTTCCCGTTTTACTGCTTCCCTTTCTGGACTCGCAGTTACCAGTCTGCTCCCTGTACCTGCTTTGTGTGTTCCTTGACCAGCTCCACACCCACCTTTCTTCTGTCAGCTTTTGGAAGAGTACTGGAGGGCATACTGTCACTTCCCACCACTGTGAGCTTTTGAGCGGAATATTGGTGCACCCAGGGCAGAATGGTTGTTGAACACTAACAATGTGCAGCCCAGGAGGAGCAGTGATCCCAATGAATGTGATCCAGCTGGCTGACCTGTTTCTCAGGCTCTTCCCTTTCATGAGTATTTATTTATTTATTTCCTCTCTCCCCTCCCACCCCACCCCATCTCCCGCTCAGGATATGCCGTGGCAGCAGGTCATTTCTCTCAGCCGACTACCACGGACATTGTAGGAGGAGCTCCCCAGGATGGAGGCATCGGAAAGGTGCGGCTTTTTGTCAAACAATAATATGGTCGGGTGCAACGGGGCAAAAAAAGTAATAGTGATGTAGTTCCCACATGTCTGAGAAGCCAAGAGATTTTTGCCTACAGGCTAGTTTTGGAGCACTGAGCAGGCGAGAGATGAGGTAGTTTAATGAAGTCATCAAATTTTCTCGACCTGTCCCTCCTGGTGCCTCACATCCCTCACCCCTCTCTTTTCTCTTCTGCCACCCAATCCTTACAATAGTTATTTTAACAAGACACAGGCAACGTTTCTTTCACACTCCTTTTGTTAAGGATTCGTAGCATACAGGTATCACTTAAACCTTGCCTGGAAATGAAAAAACTTGGAAAAGAGAGTTTGTCTTCTGCTTGTTTTCTTTATATGTTTGACTGTTTCAGTATTTACTTCAGAGTAGCATCTCTAATAGCATGAAAAGCCCTTTACTAGGTGATTTGATGTCCCTTTTAAAACTTCATAATATGTTGATGTTTAGTGGATTAGAATCTGGGGTTTTGCCAGCTTTACTTAGAAATCTTGGTGATGGTCTCTTGAGAAGGAAAAAAAAAAATGGTTTTCTGTAGGCAAACATATGTTCAATGTCCCAAAGATGTAAGCAAGTGAATGGCTAGATGGAGATGGCTGCTGAGTTAGGTGTGCCTGGTGTTCCTGTGTCAAGTACCCGGCTGCTGTTGGGGGGAGCTGGTTGAGGATGAGCTCTGTGACCCTTACACACTTCTGAACCAAAGGTGGAGAGGTGGGAGTAGGGAGAGGGAGAAAAGGGATGTAAAGGATTTGCTTTTGTCCCTCTTTCTTCAAAATCCAATCCTTTTGGGACTTGCTGCCACCATGAGCTTAAGCAGAGATGTCCTGCAACCTCCTTCCATCTTCCTCCCTCTGGTTCTCCTGCTCTATAGGGACATGAGTTGGAGCTGAGTCATAACGATAAGGAGTGAGAGGTCCGCTCTACGAGAAACACTATCCCTTGGTTTAGGCAGATTATTTTTGATAGTAACCATGTCCCAGGGGGTAGAAATGCAAGTGGGTAAAATAGAATAAAAGTAGAGGATGCACTTGGTACATATACCTGATCTGGCGTGACTAGGATATACGGGTTATAGTAGCCGCACAGTTGTTACTGGGAGGACATGTGCATGGGAAAGACATAGTTTCCTTATCCCAGGTGCTCTGTTACGGCTGCTCCAATGCACCTTCCTCCCAACCTGTTTTCTCTGTGGAGCAGATTTAGTTGTTGTACAGGGAGGCGGGGAAAAAAACAGCTGCTAACATGAGATCCATGAGAAAGCAGCTGGCTCTGTAGTTTAAAGACTACTGCTCTAGTTGCAAAAGCTCCCATTATTCTCCCTTGGGATGGATTGTGGGTAGCAGGAACGCATGGCAAAGGAGCGGTAAAAGGTGTTGAGTACAGGACATTATGCTGAGCAGTCTTGTGCTTTCCACACTCTCTAATAAGCTAATCCTTTTCACTTCCCTGATTGATAGAAAGTGATTAGCATCGTCACCCTTTTCACTGAAGGTAAAGCCAAGATACTTAATGAGACTGAGTCATTTCTCCAAAGTCACCAAGAGTGTTATTAGTTAAGACTCAGTTTGGAGTCGTGACACTTGGCAATGTGCTCTCGCTGCTAAACATGCCGCTGCAAAACCTGGGGAGTCCTTTATATCTAGAACGATTGTCCGCAGTAAATCTGTGCTGTGTTCTCAGCTGAAAACAGCTTTGAACTCTGTCTCACCACCTATTAATAACTCACCACCTATTCAGCTATGTCATGTCAAGTGCTTGGCTCTGCCACGTGGGAAGAGATCCTCTGTCCTGCAAACTGCATGAGCACCTGCTAGGAGAGAGCCTGTCAAACACTGGAAGAGTCTCAAGGCTGACTGAGCCAGCCTTTTTGCCAAAGGGTGTCCCTTTCTACAAGCCATGCATTTTAGGTCTTAAATTTTGGTACAAGATCTGTTATTGAACTTGTATCAATACTTTTATCCCTGAGAGTTCCTGGTTAAACAGTTTCCTCTGTGGAAACGAGCAACGAATGGTCTATGTTTGAATAGTTTTCTGATTTACAGATTGTTTCAGACAGAAACAGTGCAAATGCCTTGGGTGGTCTGATTGGGATTTCTACTCTGATCTTTGCTAAAGCATCATGAAGTTTGCAGTGCAGTACGTGCAGGCACATGTCCTTGAGAAGGGAAGACTGGATAAGGGAAGGGGAGCAGGGTTATGCCTTCTCAGCCTTTTGCCCTGCTCATTTCCAGACAGTCTCCAGATGCCACTTGTTTGAGAGTTGGAAAATTCCTTTACTAGGTGCTTTTACATACTCGCATGTGCACATACACACATACGCACCAAAAAAGTAGGTGACGGTACTATTCACGCATTTCTCATGAGAGGCCTGTGATTCATCAGGAAAATGCAGAACTCAATGTTTTGTCTTTTAAAAGAAGACTGAGCAATAAAGTGGTAAATAAATTGGATCTTGGCAATAGCCGTGGCTATGATTATGATTTAGATATTATTTAGAAAGCATCAATGCTGTACCAGTATGTGCTTTGTAGTTAGTATTGGTTAACTTTTTTCTTTTTTCACTTTTCAGGTTTATATTTTCAGAACAGACAGACGATCAGGCTCTCTAATAAAGATTTTTCAGGCTTCAGGGAAAAAGGTGAGCTTTTATGTACATGTGTTTTCTTTTAAGGGGTAGAAAAGGGGGAAATAATGGCAGGGTCATCTCAGAGCATCATTTTCATTCCACTGCTTCATGAGTTGTCAAGGAAATTCTGTTTCTTCTTATCCTCCCAGAAGAGCTAAATCTATTGTACAGGCCAGCTGTATGCCCCCTCTCCTGCAGCAGTCATGATTGCAATGTCTGCTCAATGCCTATGTGACTGAAATTAAAGCTCTTGCTGAAAATTGTACTAGTGGTTCTCTCTAGCTGTACACAACTGTAGCAGTGCCTTCTGAGATGTGGGACATGGGGCACCAGGTGAGCCGAGAGATTTCCTCTTAGTAGATGTTATTGGGAGATATGGGTAGCTTGGAGCTTAGTTTAATACACAAAACCCAAATCTGTTTTACTGTGTCCTGCTGTGATGTGGGATATTAGAGTTATGCTGTTTTGTGGAGGAGCAGCTTCATTGCCTCAAGAGATGATGATTTCCCCCTTCCTACCATGAATCAGTCCTGCATTTTGCTCTTAGAACTGATGTCTTAGAGCTGAACCACCCCCTCCCACCCCTCCATGAAATTTAGTGAATGCTAGGGAGATCCAGCTCCTCCTGCGCAGTGTTGTGTTTGAGTGGGGAACAGCTTGTGTTCTTCACTGGGGGCTTGCTGGAGACATGTTGCAGGGGAAACAAAATGGAAGGTACGTCTATCTATAAGTAAAAACAAAAAGATGTCTTATTTGGGAATAGTGCAGTGAGGAAACAATACCCCTTACCTGAGGTTGCCTGTGTTCTCCTGGAAGGAGAGGAGATACAGAAGAAAAAAGTTACTGGTGGCTTCTGGCTCTAGGAAGACCTGCCACTCTAAGAAGGATCTGTATCATCAAGTTGGGAGTGTTAGCATGTATTGTTGCTTTTTCCCAACAAAACACAGTTGCGGTCTTTAAAAACATGCCTGGAATAGGGAAAAACTGCACTATATGTAGATAGATGGTGTGACTTGTATTTTAGGCCCTCTCCAAAATAAGTCTTTCTCTGCACTAGCAGAACTGCAGACGTCTTGAAAGGAAAAGACCTCCCAGTTCATCCAGGGCATCTCCTGTGTTTGATTGCTTCCTGTTCATTTCTTTCCCTGTTGACTTTTAAATGGCCCTCAGGATGTGCTGCTGGAGAACTATTCCTCAGCCTAATAAACAGAGCTATCGGGAAGTTTCCAGACCTCAGCCAAAAACTTTCCTTTTTCAATTTAATTGCGTTATTCTTACATGTAACTTAACTAATCAAGTATTTACATCCTTCAAGTACTTCTAGGCTGTCATCTCCTCTTTCCCCAGTAGCACGTCTTCTGCAAATTCTCTAAAATCCAAATGAAAATTTTATTTTAAAGAGAAGGCTGTCCTAAATCACATTTTATTGTTTTGTGATTGAAATATAACCAGACGGGCTCAGCAATGCGCACTGCCTGGGAATGAGCTCTCACAAAATGCTGCGTCCTTCCCAGTGGTGTGAAGGTTCATTGTTCTGACATTCTTGTTAGACAGATGTTAAAAGCAGGCCAGTTTCTTCCTTCCCTTTTTTTATTGCTGGAGGCTGAACTAGGAAATCAAATGCAGACAAGAAAAAAGAAAATGCAGTGCCTTGTTACAAATGTTAAGTGCACAAACTTCAGGTTCTCACAGCGCCGTGAACTCACCCACGCTGCAGACGTACCATATTGCAATTAAATAAATAATAGCCTTTCCCTGAAAACTGCCTGAAAACATAGCGAAATGCTTTTCATAACTTTCGCTCCTTACTCATGAGAAATTTGTTTTAAAACCTTAGTGGATTAAAAAAAATAAACAAATAAAAAATCCACAGGGGAACTTAAGCTACAAAATAACTGGAATCAAATGATGTTTGAGGTCTGACCTTAAACCCACACAAACACAAAAATCTGAATTACAAACTGAAACTCTATCCTTAACTCACCCCACTGTATATATTTAGCAGCTTTTAAATCTTATGAACTGCATAGAATAGAGTTGCTGCTGCCCATCTCCTAGCATGCCCAGTAGCTCTGGCTCGTGCAATTAAACTTACCATGTGTGGAAGGTAGTGGGTCAGAGATCTGCAATGAGGAATGTAAAAGCATACAAGAAATGTGATTCATTCTTTTTAACCTAAATAATTATTTCTGTAACCTCAATTTTTCCTACTATGTAAACAGCTCTCACATTCAAATAAGAAGTGGTATCTTTCCAGTTTTCCTGTGAAGTTGCTTTTAATTTTGAGACTATGGTTTGTAGTTGGTCTCAGAAAGTACGCCTTGCGGTACCTTAGCAGAAGTGGATGAAATAAGGGTGGAATATCATTCTCGCTTTTGGTTTCCTTTTTGTGTTTAAATGTGTTTTGAAATTTGTAATGTGGGTGCCAGTTGGGAGATTCTTAGCATTTAATATTGACCCATGTAAAAAATTATGTAATGAAATTAATGTATTTCTAAAATTTAGGCAAGTAAGTTTTATCAAGCAATAATAACTGGAGATTGAAAGTGGCTTAGATTTTTTGTGCATCAACTGAAAAGCTTTTATTGAAAGTCGTCTTTCTATGTCAACTCACTTGCCTGTACGTGAGAGGAAAGGCTATGATCAAAACCCACGACCAGTAGCGCTATTTGAAGGTGATTGATACAAATAGATACAAATAGAGCAGGGGAAGACAGTCCACAATCAAGAGGTAATTTTAGATGCCTCTTTTCATGGATATCCTGCCCCTTGTCTATTCTTCTTTTTTAATTTTCTTTATTTCTTTAAGGTATCCCCAGAAGAGCTGTGGTACTCACCTTCAAGTCTCTTTAGGAAGTCTGGTGCTGAGCATGAATAATCACTAGCCAGGTCTTGGTTTGGGAAACTTAGTTCACCCCTTCCTGGATTTAAGTATTTGACAAGTGAAAGCGAGGCTAAGAAAGCTCTTTAGGTGTCTCACTTAAGCACATCCCAGGGTATAAATTTTATTCTGTTGGTAAAACATTCAAGCTGATGCACTGTTACTGTAAAAGTGTTTAGTTCCTGCCAGAATTATCCCCTAAGCTTTCTCTGTAGGAGTGCTTGTGAGTGATAAAGCAGCAAGTCATCATTTGAAATTAAAAAAAAAAACCACCAAAAACACGGCTAATGATTTCCTCCTGTGTGTGGGCAGATACTGAATGCTTTGTTGTGACTCGGCTTGGTTACAGATGGGCTCTTACTTTGGCTCCTCCTTATGTGCAGTTGATCTGAACTCTGACGGGTTGTCAGACCTGCTGGTCGGAGCACCTATGTTTTCTGAGATCAGAGATGAGGGTCAAGTCACAGTCTATATCAACAGAGGAAACGTGAGTATGTACAGGAGATGACTTGGTAAGGGATGAGGGTGTGGGTCCGGGCGTCCTTTCAGCACTGCATGGTGAAACTCAATGTCTCAAATTATGGGGTTCTGGATGTCTCTAGCAGAGCATGTAGTCACAGAAACCATCTGGTATCATGGTTTCCCAGACACCAGCCCACATTCATTACAGAGCTGTGAATCTTTTGAGGAGGTCTGGGAAAGTTTCTGGGTTTATGTTGAAACTTGGTGGTATTTGTGGCTTTACATGAACTTGACGCCAAAACCAAATAAGAGTCAGCAGCTTTTACTGAGTTTTCCTTTGTGTTTTGGGTGGTCACTGGGACCTACACATCAGAACAAAAATGTGTGAGGATATAGGAGTTCTAGTAAAGAGAAGCTACAGAATGAATTCACTTTATCTTTACCTTATGCCCCATATATAACCTTTACTGGGAAGTTCTTATCAGTTGGTACTGTTGGATTTCACGTGACCCACCAGCAGTCTTGGAAAAGCCTAAACTTTCTTGCATTGGCAAAACAAGATCATTCTTATGTCGTATTTATAAGAAAACAATGATTGTTTACCTGTTATTATGTATTTAATATTCAGGTCCCAAACTTGATGTCTGAAAGTAGGAGTTGTTATGGACTAAAATGAAATTGATTTGCTTCATCAGTAGTTTGCAAATTTTAATGTATAGAATTTGTTTACGCTAGACTTAACATTCACCACAAGTCCTATAGGCAGTATTTGGGAGACTTCAGAATTGGTTTTGGTGTAATTTTATTTTCTATTATCACTCCTCCTTTAAATGAGCTTTACTGTTCCAGTTCTTATGTTGCAGGGCTGGTGCTGGGTCCTCAGGATAGGGTCCAGAATGCCAAGCAGATAATAGCCAACATTTCCTGCTTGCAGTGAGAGCATGCATGAGTTAATTTTTATCTTTTATAAAACAATCAAGAAGCTAGTAGGAGTTTCTTATACTCCTGCAGCAAGAATTATTTACAGAAGCAATGGCTTGCAGGATTGTGGGTTTTATTTTGGGGTTTGGACATTTTAAACTCTGTTTCATTCTGCAAGCACCATTACTTAAGAGGTCATTGCAGCAGATCAGAGACAACTGCATCATAATACAAGTATGCATAGTGATGCTAGATTTAATACACTTATATCTTGCCCTTTCCTGTGAGGACTGCAAAGAAATGAGTCGCACATACAGGCCTGCCTGTCTCCTCTCTGTTGTGTTTCAATTTCATTATGTGGGATTTTCTTAAAGTCAGCAACTCCCTGCAGCCAAGAAAAAGATTTTATTACATCTTCCAGAGGGCAGTTTACTCTCATTCACAAAGGAAGGAGAAACAAAACAAAACAACCCTTGAGGTGGGTTCAGAGTTGGATTGCATAACCAAATTTTGTTTTCTTGTGGAAATGTTCTTTTTCCCTTGAGGGAGGACTGCAAGAAACTAAAGCTTGTGTATCTGACCAGAAAGTGGGTGGGCAAGAAATACCAGATCCATATAAGGCTTCTCATGGCATAGGAGTACAGAGCTACTTTATTCTGAACTTTCCTCTGTCTCTTTATTTCATTAAATCTCTTTCCTTATTCTTCATTTCAGAAGGCTTTTTGGGGACTTTGCTTTAATCCTTCTGTCCAATATTTAAAAAGTTCTTCAAATCCAATTGCCCAAATGTTCTTTGCTTAGGGGAATATTCTCCTTAGCTCACTGAAGTTTAGCTGAATAAGCCTGGACTGAGGATTTCACTCCTCAGATGTAAGCTACCATTAGAGCAAGCTCTGGGCTGTACGCTTTCGGCATCTGGAAACCTTCATGAGCTCACCAAGCCCTGTGACTGCATTTAGTTACATCACTGAGTTATTGTTTAGTTAATTTAGCATTTTAGTTATATCACTTATGTACTCCTTTTTTTCTTTTTTTTTTCCCCCTTAAAACTAAAAGACAGAAGATTGTTAAAAAACCCAAATGAATTAGATTTTTGGTGCCCAGGCAATCCGTGTGCAGTGAGGGCAAGAGTCAGACTGCAGCCCTGCCCCAGGTGCTTCCTGCAGCATATGTATGGGCAGCTCCCATGGGGAGGGCTCGCCTCGCCCAGGGCTCGCACCATTTCCCTGACCCTGTTTTATTTCCTACTTGCTAGGGAGTGCTGGAAGAGCAGCTTGTCCTGAATGGTGATGGCGCCTACAACGCACACTTTGGGGAGAGCATGGCCGCCCTTGGTGACATCGATGATGATGGCTTCCCAGGTCAGTGCGATTTCCTCCTGGGCCGTTTCTCTGGAAATGCCAGCGGGGCTGGTCGCACTGCCGGTCTCCTCACATGGCCGGGTGCTGCATGGTGTCCATTGCTCCTCTGGACCCGACCAGCACCTGGGCTCATGCTAAAGATAAATGCGTTTGCGTAGGTTTTGTCTGCTAAAGCCTTTTGTAGCTGATTGATTGTCCTTGATGTAGGTTTAGTCCATGTCCACGCAACTCGCACCTCAATCTCATTAACATTGCTTTTCTTTCCTTGCTGTTGCATTTTCTTCTTCTCTGGTACGGTTTATAAAAGGCTTTAGATACCCATGCCGTGAACAAAACAAAAGTCTATGTCTGATTTCTTTCTTCTTTCTCATTTCCTTATGTCTTCAAGCCTTTCCAGTTTTGTTGACATAGTTGTGTTTCTTATCATGAAGTGTAATTAAGTAGCTTCTCACTCCTAATAGCATGTACTCTATCAATAATTTCTCTCCTTTGCTTTACCACTGCTCCTTTCACAAGCTGCTCAGTGTGAAGCCCCATGCTGTGATAGCAATAGGTGAGAGCAAAGTGTTGATACTGGCACCTTTTCTCCCCTGATTTCTGGCAGTGCAGATAAAGGGCTTCCAAACAAAGGCTGACTAACTCAGTGTGTGCCTGGATTTATTTCTTCCAGGCCACTCAGGGCGTGGTATTTCATTAAGCCTAACCCAAGCTCATTGCAGGTTGTTCTCACAAATGGTGGGCATGCTCCTCCTCTGCACTTGGGCATGCACTTGCGTTTTCTTGCTGCTGCTTGTGGATCAGTTGTGTTGATGGAGAGACTGCAGAGTGAGTTGGATCAGTCCGTGGGTATGAAACCATCAGGAAGAGTTTAATTTTAGCAGCTGTGTAGTCACTAGATCCAGCTAGGAGAGGAGAATGGGAGGTGGGATCACTGTTTCTGCAGGAGTTTGCAGTTAAATTGGATCAAATGTAATTTGAAAGTGCACCCTCAGCAGCCATTTTTATTTCCTGCCAACTCATTTAGTATACCCAGCCTCATTTTGGAGCCTTGGATTTTCAAGCAAACTTAATGTAGTGCTACAATAAATGTTTTGCCAATGCTGTCTTGTTTTACAATGCTGATATTCCCCTGGGTTGAAGATTTTGATATGAAAGGATTCTAAATTAACTTTTTGAGCATGGTTGCTGGTTAGTAAACACACATTTTCATAACAAGCACGTGTTTCTAATTAGGCACAACATAGCCATATGCGTGTGCAAATTCATATACATTTGTGTATTTTTTTAAGTTTATCTTAACATGAGCTCTTCATTAAATCAAACAAGTTCCTTCTAGCCAGGTTCACATGAGCTGCTGCTGATCTTCGTCATGGGAAGCTATTTTCTTATGGATAGCTGGCTTCTAAAATTGGGAAAAAGTTGGATTAATGGAATGGATTGTGAAATGTTTATAATCTGTACTGTTTTACAGATGTTGCCATTGGAGCACCTAAGGAGGATAACTACATAGGAGCAGTGTACATTTACCATGGGGATGCCAATGGTATCGTACCTCAGTACTCTATGGTATGTGACACTATCGTTTGCGATACCTATCTGAAGTCACTTTCCCAGGGCCTGCAGAAATAAACCATACTTAAAGGTCCCTTTATAGGTAGCCTCATCATAGTTCTACGTCCTTTTCTCAGTCCTGGTTTGAAGATGGCTCCTCCCAAAGTTTGTCCGTATCTGTAGGGTAAAATTATGCTGTAGGGTAAAATTATGTTAGTCAGGAGATATTTTTCACTGTCTTTTGTTACAGTTATCAGCTGTAGCTTCCTTCTTGAAGCAAACACAGTCTTGGAGTTTGAATGTCAGTTTTTAGAGACAGTACTGCTGCAGAGGAGAAATGAAAACCCTGGAGAGGTTCAGCACACAAATTATGGAGAGGCAGGTGGGGAGTTGGGGGGTTGCATTTTCTTCCTGCAGAAGCAGGCTTAGTGAGAAGGAAGAGGTACTGAGTTTTCTTCTGTGCCCCACAGAAGCCTCTTTACCCATCTTGTTTGCCCTGTCCTTGCGATGTGACAATATATCACAAGGCTATTCCTGGGTGCCATTCCCCTGACCATTATTACGAAGTAAAATCTCGGCTGGGATATGCTCTAGTATCTTGCGCAGAGATGACACAGTGCGATTTAGCTACTGTAGCCAGGCAGTAGAGAAGATAAATTTATGCTCATGCTGCCCAACATGTGTCCCCTAGTCTCTGTCTAGCACATTTCTTTTTTTCAGAGAGCCTGAATCTTCCCTCCCTCCGTGTGTTTGAAGTTCTGGTTGTTTTGTTTTGTTGCTGGGTGGGATCCTTCGCAGTAAATCAGTTTAAGCAGAAATAAAGAGTTTAGTGGTTATGTTGGAGACTCTTCTAACAGACCTTAGAAGTTTAGTCCTTCTTGCTTTTACCACATATATGCTATGCATGGCTTTTTAGAAAAAAGGAAGTCAAATGACTCTTTATACTTCTAAAATGCAGTAATGTGTGGCATGTGGAGGATTCCACCCATTTCTTGCTAAGATCCACTGGTTGGGAGGTTCTTCTCTGGCTGTCAGAAAGCCTGGAGCTTTCCAGCCCTTGTTGAAAAGGATCAGATTTTTTTTTTTTTTTGGTCATTCATGGGAAAATTTTACAGTTTTGAAAGAGGCCAGATCAGCAGGGTGGGAAGAGAAACATCCTGCTTGCGATCTCTCCCTCCCCATTGGAGAAAGGCCAGCAGACATGGCGCATGCCTCTCCGCTTGGTCAGGAGGGTAGCATGGTACCGTGGTCATTGACTCTTGATATCATTCCTATCATTGTCCCGAGGCAGCCAAGGGGGCACCACTTAGGGGCAGTATCTCCATGCCATTTCCCAGTGTCTGCTGCAGGGCACCAGACACACCACCGGTTCATCTCCCATGTGCAACCAAAAAAGCTGTGCAACAGCTTCAGCTCTTTACCTACCTGCCCTGGATTTGAACCCAAAGGTGAAAGACTTTTTGTATCTTATTACTGCACCCTTGAGCCATCTTAATGCCCTAGATTTCCTTTTTTAAATAAGCTGAGAGAGGTGGTGGTGGGGGCTGCAGGATATGTTTTCACCCTTTTCATTTTGTTAGCCTTTTCCTACCCTTTTCTTCATTTAAATAGCTGATCAACGTTGTTCCCTGATGTCCCTTCAGCAACTTTAGTGGTGGCTATGAGCAGAAGCAGCTTAATTGGCTTTGTGGCCTGCTGTTTTCATTCATGGCACTTAAAAGCAAAGCAGCATTATACCTCTGCCTTCTAGGCCGTAATAGCCTGCAGATGTTCACTGGGATGTTTGCAGGCGAGATTTACCAGCCTAACTGGGACCTTCCAAAAATGCGATGCAAGTGTAATGTGGGGAGGAAGTTACTTCCATTTGTCTTAATCTTATCTGCCCACGTGTAGGAAAAGGAGATCTGTACATGGCGGAGCACTGGTTTCTCTTTAAACTGGCTGTCAGGACTGCAGGATATCTTTCTTCCTCTCAACTTGTCTTTTTTTTCTGTGAATTTCCTGTCTGACATTTTGTCCAATGTTATGTCCTTTTATGGGAGGGCCAGGAAAAGCAGGTCTCATGTCACAAGGTGTGAAGCACCACCAACAGCCTTGAAATTACTTCATGGGATAGGTTTCCTTTGTCTGTAACTTCTGCAGTCAGATGTTGGTTTGAGTTCAGGTCTTGCATTGGTGGCCCAGCATAATGAATGAGAGCTGGGAGACATCTGATTGCCTCCTTAGAAAATGAGATTTTGATATACTAATTTGCTTCAGACAAAGGCATTTACAATTCAAAATGTTTAGAGAAAGTTTTTTGTGTTAGTAATTAAAAAAAAAGAAGCTATGTTAGAAGTTAATTAATCTTTGCGTTGGGGAGGCAGAAATGAGATACTGCTTCCAAACTGACACAAAATACTGCATAATAGCTGATGGAAACCAGAATGTCCAAGTGGGATGAAAATTAATCATTTTGACTTTGAGTATGCTGGCAAACTTTGTGAAAAGGAATGGCTGTGCAGGATTTTCTGTTTCAATTAATCATTAATTTTATTAAGATGCCGCTTAAAACTTTTATTTACAGAAATGAAGGTAATGCAAAAAAAAAAAAGTAAAATCTCTAGGGTGCAGTTAAATTTCCTCCCCCCCCAAGAAATCTGTTTGATGTGTTCTTTATTTTGCTTGGGTCTGCATGAGGGTTGTAATGCAGGTGTGTTTTTTAATCCAAGTCAACACTGGCCTCCTAGCCCAGAGCAGAAGGGCTTCCTGCAGTCAACAGCCTTCCGGCTCAGGGCTGCGTGGGTGAAATGCGAGCCTGCAGATGTGCGGCATTTCCAGCCCACAGAAAAGAGCCTCGGTGACCATGAAAATCAGGCTCGAAGGTTTTTTTGTTTGCTCTTTTGTTTTTTTTGAGGATTCTTTGTGTTATTGACTGATTTCACTCACCTGTTTTCTGCTGCAGAAGCTGTCTGGGCAAACAATAAACCCAATGCTACGGATGTTTGGCCAGTCTTTATCAGGGGGAGTCGATATGGATGGCAATGGTTATCCAGGTATGTCTGCTACTCTGGCAGTGAGAGCACTGGGGAAATACAGCAGCAGGCTGAGAAAACAACGGAGCTGGTTGTTTCTAGGTTGCTGGTTCCTGTCATTGCAGGAGGCCAATGAAGCTGAGCATCTTCTTCCCTTTTCCCTCTGTTATTCGAAGCTCCTGATAAGAAATTGAGTCAATTGCTTGATTCAGGTGTTTGGGCAGTCATGATGAAGGACTGAGATTTTAAAGCAGAGGATTTCAGTATCTGGCCAAGGTTGTAAGTTACCTGGAAGCTGCCCAGTCATGATGACAATCTTAAAAAAAAAAAAAAAAAGTAGACAATAACATAATAATAATAATAAACAACAAACAATGAAGTAGGAGTGAAGTAATGTCACAGACATAATCCTCCAGTTATAATACTTATGACATAATGAAATTTGAAGGGACCAGCTAGCTAATATAAGTCAGAAAAATGTTTTTTTTAGATATATGCTCTGTAATTTACAAACTGAGAGAACTGAATTCTGTGCCTCCTTTGTAAATGTCTCAATGTTACAAAAATTTCAGATATGACCGTTGGAGCCTTCTTGTCAGACAATGTGGTACTTCTGAGGTGAGATCAATGTCTTTTTCATCCTCTGTTGTCTTCTTTTTGAGTCTGTTTTCTGTTTTCATTTGACCACCATCTTATGTGGTCTAAGTCCTTCACCACTCCAATTTTCTCACTAGTTTATTGTGGTCAGAAGCAGCAAGCTGGATTACTTTTTAAGCAGAGCCTTAGACATGGATGGTGTCAAAGAATGCACAATCTAATTTAAACAGCATAGTGAGGGATGACAATACGTAGGACTCCCAGGGCTATGAACAAAACAAAGGGTTACAGCCGGAAGGAGATATGTTGCATCTTAGTGCCTTTTTAGAAACGTGGCCCTGAATTTGTGAGGCTTTTTTTACATTTGCATAAAGTAAATAAATTATGATTTAAGGGAATGTGGTTGAGCAAAAAGCCAGCTGCATGTGATGCCAGGATGTAATTTTGCGAGTTATAATGGGATGCAGAATGAAATAAGAGTCTTCAGGGAAATGAAATACAGAGACGTTTGCAATGCACATGGGATTTGGGCTGCTGTTTCGAGTGTGTGGGTTAAGTGCAATTGTTTGTTTCATCTGATGGAGACAGGTGTGACAGCTTGGTCCACCAAATTATGCAGGTGGAGAGTTAGAGTAGGAGCGGACTTGAGATGCACAGACCTGGGGAAGAGAATGGGAAGTTTGAATTTTGCCAGTAGCTCCATTGTTACACTTGTTAATATTTAATAGAAAAATGTTGTCAATACCTGGATGTCATTAGAAATAGTCACTAGAGACTCCTGCATCTTAATGGAAGATACAGGGATGTGGTGAGACTGGCAAGACAAATGATGGAGCTGCAGAACGGATGCGCCAGCCTGCTTCCTGTTCAAGGCAGAAAAAACTTGGCTCTGTTTCCATTTGAATTAGTTAAACAAAATAAAAGGAAAAAGGAGAGGGGGGAAGAAATGCCTCTGATGATCAGCATGGCAGGTAGTCAGGTCTTCTGAAGAGTTTTCTGTTCCTTCATCATGCACGCAGAGGAAGGCAATTGCTGCTTCTGTGAAAAGGTGTGCCATGCCCCAGATATGATCTCGCAGCCCCGTGTCTTCAAAACTGCTAGAAAGAAAACTGTGCACATTTCTCCTGCATTGTTGTTATTTGCAGGGTGGGGAAGGGCAATCTGAAAGGCTTGCTGTGATGTTTAAAACAACATACATTGCAACAGCATGGTGACCTCTGTCCACGTGTTCAGTTGCTGCCTGTGCGTTTCGGTGATTAGCGCATGACTGACTGACTTTATGGGCGGCCTGCTTAATTACTGCTACTGCCAATTTACAGTGTGTCCCTCTTGCTGTTTAGATTCAGATTAGGATAAAGAAATTAGCTTTTTTTCCCCCCTCGTCCCTCCAGAAGCCTTTGTGAAGTCCTTTGGCCAAAACCAACAAATGTTTTGCCAAGTGATATTAAAGGCTCTGGTGGAAGCCACAGTGACTTGGGGCAGATCGTTGTTGCTGTATTGCTGGTGTGTGTATATGGCTGTTTGACAGATACGTTGTCATTCGTTTTTTTCCCCAGTGAATAACCAAGTGAGCTAATGTTAAGGAAAAATCACACGGTGCATCATGGCTGGAGAAATATTTTTTTCTAGGAGAAACATTTTTCCAGATCAATTATACCATTTATTCTTTTATGTTTTCTCAAGCATTTGGAAGGGGTTTTTTTCCAAGGTGTGAAATCATCCTAGGAAGCTCACTCTTTTTCCTCCTTTTTTTGTTTTCCCCCATTACTGTATATATTTCTAGAGTTAGCATTTATCTTCATCCTCCATCTCAAAAGGCGAACTTGCACTGTTATTTTCAGGCTGTGGTAAAAGAGTCTGAGCAGCTGTCTTGGAGATTGATGTGAAGCTTGTTCCAGTCAATATGAATTAGGTGTAACCACAATCCCCGCTCTCTTCTCCCCCCTCTCCCCTGCCTCTAAATTAAGTGGCTTGTAGAATGAGAGTCCTGAAGTGGTTTACTTACATGGTCTGGCCTTGCATGGGCACTGGCTGCTGGGACTACACCTTAGAAGTGAATCTGCTGGTTGCTGCACATTTTTTTTACTACTGGAGTTGGTTTTGGAAGAACATGTTCATGTTGAACATGTACAGAATGGAAACCACGAAGAATAACACTCGGTGCATTTTTGGGCTGAAGTCCTGGGCGGGGGATGGCTCAGGAGAGCCTGGGTTTCTGGGCTGCTTTTCCCAACCAAGCTGGCGGGGCTTGTGTTGTGCGAGAGAGGAGACCCACCTGGGCCCTGATGGTGCTTGCCTTGCTCTGTGATTCTGGCCAAGGCCTTCTTCAGCCGGGAACAGTCGTAACAATAACCTGGTGCTGGAGTTACAAGGGTAGAAAGCTTTTGTTCACTGTGCACCGGGTAACTCCTGAAACAGAGTCCAGCAGCTTGGAAAGAGTATTCAATCCTTACCACTCACCAGGAGGGAATTGGCCAAACGTTCCCTCCTGCAGAAAACATGAATTTGATGTGTCTGTTGTCTCTCTCACACTGTCAGAAGAATTATGTATGAATCCATCTCCTACTCCTATGCTACCTCCTTGACTTTCAGGTCACCAATTTGACTGTACACCTTCTCTGGAAACCGAAGGTCTCTGCCTACCCGTTCCTGACCATCCAGGCTGCTTAGCAAGCAGTCTCACTTGCATGAGCTTCTTGTCCTTGGTTGCTGTTGTGCTAATTCTGTTATCCACTTCAGTCATCAGAAAGGTTTTATGCAACTTTTGCTGGAGATTATTATTATTATATATTATCGGTTTCCCCAGCTGCCTGCCTGCAGTCTGTATCTGAACACTGAACTTCAAGCTGACATTATGGTTTTCATTCAGACACTAGTAGTCCTTGCCAGCTAGGTCAAGTGCTCATTTATCTTATAGTTCAAAAGCAGTCTCTTATTTTTCATGTCTGCTTGATATTGTGCAGTTTACTAAATGTGCTTTATTTTCCTTTGGCTGAAAACTTCTCTCCGAATGATCACTCAATTCCACTTCTCTGTTGATCTCCAGATCCAGGCCTGTCATTACCATGGACATCTCCATTTTCCTGCCCGCGTCCATCAATATCACAGCTCCTCAGTGCCATGATGGCTTGCAGCCACTGAACTGCCTCAATGTCACAGCGTGCTTTCGCTTCAGTGGCAAGCGTGTTCCTGGAGAAATAGGTAAGGTACCTGCGCCAGCCCTGGGCAGGGGCACGCTAGCAGCTTGACCTGGGGTCAAGGGCTCCCTTTGGAGTCAGTAACAGAGCTTTTATGTGAAATAAGTTGTTTCAAGGTAAGCTGGGCAATACCATTCTAGAAAGTTGAAGGTTCCCTGGGAACTTTCTTGAGCATGTTTTTACCTTCTGATGAGGCTGACATAATACTGGGGCAGTTCCTTCCTCAGTGAAAGGAGGGAAATGTGTCCTTGGGCTTACTGCAAGGACAGAGAACATGGAAGTAATTGATGCTTTGTAAATTAATATTGCCTGTTTACCTCTTGATAACCCATTTCTGTATCCATATCCTCTATCAATGTTATCAGAAAACAGGTGTGATTTGCTCTGGATTAATAGTTTTTGAAAGTCTACAAGGAGCTCTTGAAACAGAGCACTATAAATCTGAATTCCTACCAGACATGAGCAAATCCTTTTCTGTGCATCAGTTTACCTGTCTGTAAAATTATTGTAAATAGCCCAGTATTTTACTGATGGCAAGAGTATCTTCCAGATTAGTTAGTCTCTTAAAACACATGGAGTTTCTCAGGTGAATGGAATTGTGTCAGGTGTGTAATTGTGCAAGCCTTTACATCTTGGCTGCATTAAAATATTACTTATGTCTTTTACATGCCAATGTTTACAAGTCTTAGGTACTGTGTGAAGTGGTATGGGGATAGATACAGCGTTTCTAATTATTGTAAGGTCTGGGTTTATTTAGTTCAGCCGTGATGTTTTACCTTCACCGTGCTTTTAGAATGGCAGAGGACTTGCAGTGTGCTGCTCAGGGAAGACGCCTCAGCCTCACAGCATGCTGCATCTCTGCAGTCAGTCTTGTGAGGAGCTGGGGGAAGCAGCGACTCCTCCTGCTCTGTGCCCCAGCCTTTCCGAGCCATTAATCGAGAAGGGTGAGAATTGCATCTGTGCATCCCAGTATGCAGAGCCTGCTGCAGTATTTGGATTTAAATTTAGTTGGAAAAGAAAAAAGCTTCTTCTAATTCTCCTGCCATTCACGTGGAGTTAGAACTACAAGCTGCTTGTTGAAGTTGCTCTCTGCAGGTTGTCGCTTTGTCACCTGACCAGCTCAAAAATTGAAGCTACTAAATTTAAGACTCTTCTGGATTCTAACATATTGGTGCAACTGAGACTTCAGTTTCAATTTTTGCACTTTTTCCTTCCCTGTAAATGATCACTCTCAGCAGACAAATACATGCTTTGATAAAGTATTTTTTGTAGTGCCTGCTACTCTGTCAGTTAAGAAAATACTTATCTTTGAGTGCTCCAGAAGTGTTAATTCCTTTCTGAAAATCACTGAATAGATTTTCTGAATATCTAGGTTTTCTTATGTTCCTGGGGGTACTGTTTAAAATGCTTCCTTTGCTTTCATTTCATATTTCTGGACATGTGGCTAAGAAATGAGCTGCCTTTTTTTCCAATCTAAATATCTGTTCCCCTTGTTCGCAAAAGACCTATCTTCCTGTTCATCATGTCTTGTAAGAGCCAGTTGAATTCCTCTGTGTTGTCATACAAACTGTACTCCCGATCATTTGTTGTGGTGAAAGCATATGTGCATCTTCTTCGACGAGTAACATCCATCTCGTGACAAGGAATTTTTTTACTTTTAAGTAGATGATTATAAAACTTCCAACCATTGTCCTTTTATACAATGCTTCTAGCAAAGTGATTTGTCTTGAAAATATTGCAGCCAGAACTATCTGATTGTATAAAACCCCTTGGGGATATGATTTGGATAAAATATCTCAAATAAGCTTTCAGTTTGTAGTCTAACAGTCAGGCCATTTTAATTATGTTGCAGTTGAAGAGTATCAATTAACAAAGGGTGGAACAATTCATGGAAATATTGCAACGGTTCCTCTCTTGCGTGGTTAAATGTGGGGGAAAAAAATAAAATATCCCTGTAAGTACATCGTGGTCCAGTTCAGATTCTGAAAGGCATAACGAGGTGTTAAAATACTATGTCAAAGATTTGTGGCTAAAAGTGTTGGGCTTGTCTCATCTTCGGATATCTGGGGGTGGTCTATCAAGTCAGACAGTGAGAACACAGTGCTCCCCAGAATCACTGCTCCCCTAAGGCTTGTCAGTGTGGGCACTCAAGACTGCTGCTTACTGGTGAAAAGCTGAGCATTGCTCTTGCTTTTGGGCAGCTGAAGTTGGTCACCTACCTCACAGTATTTAGAAAGTCAAGCTGAATGTGCAGGCAGCATTCTTCTGTGGCAAACGTGTGTCTTCAACGTTTATTTGAACATAGGGTTATTTTATTAACTGGCATGTGAAGGAAAAGTTGTCTTCATCTAGCACTGCCTCACACTTGCTTATAAATCTTGCCCACTCTCCCCTTCCCTTCCCTTCCCTTCCCTTCCCTTCCCTTCCCTTCCCTTCCCTTCCCTTCCCTTCCCTTCCCTTCCCTTCCCTTTCTTCACTGTGCTCCCCAGGAGTCGCGTAGCAATGAGACTATTATTTGCCTTAAATGGCAGGGGCTTTTCAGCTCCAAAAATGCTTTCAAGGACACATCACACAAAGGTTGCAAGTTGAAACAGGATTTTATTTTATTTTCCTGAATCTTTTCAGAGCCACTTTCAGAGCATACTTTTGGCTTTCCAAAGCTTGCTGC